AAAAAAAAAAAAAAAAATTGCGATCGCGAGAACGGGACAGAGACGAGCAGAGGGCCGGCACCTAGAATCCAGGTGCGCAGACTGGCCCGCTCAACAGCCCGCGGGACGAACGGAAGGATGCGGGGGGGAGAGAGAGAGAGAGAGGGAGCATGTAAATTTTCAATCTCGCGGCTAACCTCATGGTATTTCCACCGAGAGGAGGAGCAAAATTGAATGAATCTCCTACTACAACATGGAAATATACACCGCCACTTGCGCCCGCCCGCTTCGTGCCTTTGCCCCTGCTCGCCCGTGTGACTGTTGATCATATTCTATGGTGCTGCGTGATCTGGCGAGTTCGGCTATTTTGCTATTGCATGCAGCCGCGGGAAGAAAGAGAAATGCATTGTTGCATGGTTAGAGAGCTGTCTCTTATACACATCTAGATGTGTATAAGAGACAGGTGTGTGTGTGTGTGTGTGACACACGCACATACAAGACTTGGGATTTACTACGCGAATTTCGTAACTGGGGCGACCTGGCGTATCCAATATCAGAGTCATCCTCGTCTGCTACATCTTCAGCTCAGTACACGGTACCAGACAAGCGCGCACACATACCCACCGAAACGCGCACACACGCACGCACGCGCCACACACACACACACAACACGCACACACAGACAAAACCACAGACATACATACCCAAAAAGAAGTTTTGAAAAATATACACGACGGTACAAACAAAAACAAGAATGAACAGTAGAGGCGCATGAAACAAAAGAAACACTCGCACTCATACAATAAATAGCAAACAAACAAAACTGAGCATTCCTCATCAGAGCTTGTCGCTTACCTCGATTGCGTTAGGGTAGTTCCCGCCTGTACTGGCCCCATGCATTTCAGTCTCGCACCGCAAAGGGATGATGGGCACCACACTTCTTGCCCGTGACAGCGCGAGAGACGGACTCAGGGAGAGACGACATGCAAGCAGCGACGGGGACTGAGGGGCAAGGCGTAATCGCAAACAAGAGAGGGCACGGCGAGAGACATAAGGGTAAATGGACGCTTCTGGAACAGGGAACAACACAACACCCTTGGAAGGAAAAAAAAGAATAGGCCAAAAAAAGCGTAAGGTTGTAAACAACAATAGAAATTCTAATTAAAATTTCAGCTACAAGGATAGAGAATTTTTATTTTTTTTAAACTTGTATGTGGACTACGGTTTAGACACTAACCTCCTGGCTCGCTTGGGATCCATGAGTGCAGCATCTGGTAGTTTATTGGACGCCATTACTTTGCGAATCGCGGCCTCATCGGAGTCATCCACTCCATCAAAAACACCAGTACAGCTGCGGCCCATACCCACGGTTCCGGACTTGAAACTAAAACCCAGCGACGCTCTGTCCGGGCTACCGAGCGCTCCGCCAAATAATCTCGCTTTCACGATGCCTCTCGGGGACACCAGCACGCCTCCCCCGCCCCCGCCTCTGGTCGGAAAACCCGCTCCTCCCATAGCCATCGCACCTCCGGCGGCCACAAACTCGTTTTGCTCTCCTCCCCCATCCCTGCCAGCAGAACCCAGAGCTAACCCTCCGCCGCCTGCTCCTCCTCCCAATCCGGCCGAGTGTTGTCCCATACAAGCCACGCTGGCCGCTGCCGCAGCCGCGGCATCACTACCACTCAAATACGCATAATAATCTTCCCCGGCGATCTCGTCCGCGTAGTAACCGACATCGCCTGAGTGAAAACCCAAGTCCCGATCTGCCCATGACTCCTCTCCCGTCGGGAACCGGATTTGTATGTCGCTATAAACTCGGCGATGGCGGGACTTAGGCGGGGTCTCGGGCATCTGGTTGACGTCACTACTAAATCTGGACGGCCCCTGAGAGGAGGACGAAGACCCTGCGCCACCAACGGGAGTCGATCCTAGACTCACACCTCCGGCAACGGGAGCTGGTTGCACAGCAGCAGCAGCCGCGCTCGCTCCGCTCTGCTGCGCTGCTGCCCCACCTCCACCAGTGCCAGCTCCTCCCGGGCTCGCCATGGGACTACTGCCCCTCACGCTCGGTTGCCCTGGCGACGTGATTGCGTCCGGCATCGAGACGTCGACGGACAAAGACCCGCCGGTTGTCCCCGACCTGTCGGACGAGTTGTTACTTGCTGACGTGGTCGCCGTCGAGCTGCACTCCCGCTTCACGCCAGCTCCCATTGCGCCGCCGCCGTTTCCGCCGCCGGAGCCTCCGCCAACCACAGCGGCGGATCCTCCATACACCCCTCCTCCTCCCGCGACACCCCCCTCTCCTCCCGTAGATGTTGACGAAATACTCCCCTTAAACGCCATGAAATGGGATTGATGATTAAGGTGCCCACCCTGATTCGCGTTTGGCGTCGTGTGCTGATTACAAGGAGAAGAATTCGGCGTTCTTCTCCCCGATACGGTGGCCCCTGCTCCTGCTCCGGCATTGCCTGCCGCGGTTCCGCTGCCGCACGCAGATGACGGCCCTTTGAACGACACCACGCTACCTCTGTTCCCCGCCGTGCTCACATCCTGCGTCGCCACATGATCATACTCCGGTTGAGGTCGTTCTACATAATCGTCGAACCCCTGACCTAACCTCTCCATGTCTCCCTCCCTTCTACCTCAACCTACCAACTGCTAACTACTGAATATATATAGACTACTAACGTCCCCCTTTAAGCTCCCCCCTTTATCTCTTTCTGTGTGAGTATTCCCAATTGATACTGTCACAAATGAAGATGATAAGGTGATGACCACCACCACGATGATCGCAGCGAAGATGCTAATCCTCTTCGCTTCACGCTATACAATGGTCTCTCTCTGTACAATGCTCTCTCTCTCTCTCTCTCTCTCTCCTGTCTCTTATACACATCTAGATGTGTATAAGAGACAGCACACACACAGACCGCTATCGCCACGCTTACCCAATGAGCAAAGTGGGATTGAATCTATCCCTAGGACATGGGGAAGTATCCACTGCCACAACATGGAAATATACACTTCCAAAGAAAGAAAACGAGGCAGTGTATACTTCCTTCGGCAGTGTATATTTCCATGTTCTAGCGACAGATTCATTCCCATTTTGCTCCTCTCTCTCTCTCTCTCTCTCTCCCCCTACGGCAACATTTGCATCTGACAGCTCCCAGGTCCATACTCACACCAGGATTTCTTTTCAATGAATCTGTCCGCAGTTACGGGCATACAGACTTCTGGGACCTCTCTCTCTCTCTCTCTCTCTCTCTCTCTCTCTCTCTCTCTCTCTCTCTCTCTCTCT